AGCATTGATACTGTATGGTCAGTTTGATGCAGAGACTGTGACATAACCCCCTAAATAAAAAAAAATAAGAATGTATTTTTATCTAGAGAACATTGATAACAGGAGGTGAAATGCAGCTCCAGATGTGCCGAGTGTGTTGTGATGTCACGAGTACGCTTTTGTTCCAATTGGCCCATATTTATGCTCCCGTTCTCCCCAAGTCCATACTTTCCTGTGTTCTTGTAAAGAACATACTTCGCAAGGACACAAGTCCGTACTCACGTTCTTGTGAATTGAGAAACTGCCTTGGTTTGGAGTGTGCCAGCAGTGTCCATTGCTTCCAGTTCATGGTAATCCCCACATCATTAACAAACATAAATAAATATACAAAAGTTAACTAAATGTGTGTGCTACGAGTAGACCTAATGTATTTCAATACTGTCAAGTGAAAATATAAACAAAAATACACGTATTTATACTGCAATGAGTGTGTATAGGAAAACTCAAAATGAAAAGAACTTGGCACTGATAATAATAATAATAATACATTTTATTTGTATTGCACTTTACATTTAAAAAAAATCTCAAAGTGCTACAAAATTCATAGTTAAAACAAAACCGTATAATAGAAACAGTATACATAGTTAAAATGAGACATTACAGTAAAATAACATACATAGTAAAAACAAAACAGTAAAATAACCATAAAACCACACAGATAAAATACTAACTAATGTTCATAGGCTTTTTTAAATAAAAAATGACTGGCTTGATGGTTAATTCCATTCACCTGCCTAACTTCGCACAGTTTCTCATCGCAGTTCATCTTATCCACCTGCTCCTGCCTCCATTTAAACTGCTTGCTCCCAGTCATCCGTGCCAGCCTTCTGTAAGAGTTCTCTAGCGTGCCTTGTCTTTCGTGCCTCTTGTTCTTCCCTGTAACCCTTGAGCCTGCCTGTTCCTGTGCTGCTGTTAGCCATCTGGCTGGATTCTACTTCATCTTCTGGGCACAGACTGAACTCTAAAACCAGGTTAGTGACTCAAGCTCTCATAATTGTCCTCCTTTGGATTTAGATGGTCACTAACCTGAGTTTTCCCTCTACAGAGATTCCGGTCTTTGATGCCCTTGCTGCTGAGTTGCAGATCTGACATACGTTAGTAAAACGCTTTTGTGAATCACACTTCTCTGTCACAGTGTTAGTGTGTTGAGTTACCTTGACACCAAAGCGCTGATGGTAAAAGCAAACAGCCAGTTTTTGGCATTTTCTGATGGCTATTGAAGCCATCATCAACAGTTTATTGACCGCTAGAGGCTCAAAAGGAGCTCCTTTCGTTTCCTCAGTTATCGACTGGGTCGGGAAGGTCTTGGAAGCCAGGAGGATGTGGTCAGCTTCTTCAGCCAGTGAGCACTAATCCTTCTGGAACAGGTGGATAAAAACAAATCCATCTTCTTAATTTCCAAGCAAAGACAGCATGCTTTCCATCAGCTCCAAAGCCGTGCCATCTTCTAACCCCGAGAGAGAAAGCAGCTTCTCGGCACGCTCTGCATCGGACAGGGAGTAACGGCGGAGAAGCAGGTGTTTGAGGGTGCTGTACTTCCTGTCTGCTGGAGGGTTGAGAAGCAGGGTCATTGCCCGCGTGGTGGACGGCAGGTTCAGCACGGAAACCGCAGTGGTACTTGGTGTTGTCCGAGGAGATTCCATGAAGAGCAAACTGTGCTTCGACTGTGAGGAGCTGGGTAAACCATCAGATGTGTTCATGTTGGCTCACAGGGGTCACCAATGTGCAGGAGTGGACAAGGACAAAACAAAGCAGGTAGGTTCAACACCGTCTTTACTCTACTCCAACTGAGAGCAATCGTACAGTAGAACACCTTAATATACACTACCAAAGAAACATGGGTTACAACTTTTCTGCTGAGTGAGAGTGGACCCTCCTAGTGGTCTGCAACAGGATCAATTTATTGACGTGATTGTATCAAGTAATAATCAGTCCAACTAAATTAATCTGTAAACACTATTGAGCAGAAAACTATTTCCTTTTATACTTAAAAGTAGGGATCTTAAATATTGAAACAGACTCATAATTGATAAGATTTAATTCCTTTCACAGATGATCAAAATATTTTCTTAGATATATTATAGCAATGTGTTACAGTGACTATAAAATTCTTCACTGTCTCTTTATACAGTAGTTTATTATTCTCTCTATTTTACGCTTCTGTTAATATAGAAAACAGTAGATCACAAGAAGAACATGTTTGTTTTACCAGATATTTTATGTATAAAAGCTCATAAAGATGTCCCAGTCAAAAGCAATACAATAAAAAACAACTAAGGTAATTAAATTAAATTCAAAAATACTTTATTAGAACCAAATGAATATTAATTGTTGCAGTAACTCATAAATGATTTTTGATCCAGTTGTTGTGTTTATAGTTGTAGGCAATAAGTTTTTCTGTATCAGTCTGTCTTCCACTGGATCTGGAAAAGCCTCTTAATGAAGACACTCTGTCGTTGTTTAAAAATCTTCTGAATCTCACTGTTGTCTATAATCTTCTTCTCTTTATGAAGAATTCTTCTTTGTGAAATAGTCTCCAGAGGTTCTAGAGGAGTTCCCAGAACAGAGCTGGTCTTTATTAGTTTGTTGAGGTTTTTTAAGTCATGCTAATACTTTTACCCAGATGGCAGAGGAGATCACACCTGTCCCTTCTTATAGAAGGCCTCATAGTTGTGCATCCAGTCTAGTTTTTTGTCCAGGTGAACACCAAGATATTTATACTGATCAACCACCTCCGCTTCTTCTCCCATGATGTTAATAGGTTTCACCTTGTTCCTGTTTCTTCTGAAATCTGCAATCATCTCTCTTTGATAATCTCTGCTCCCCATCATTTATTTATTTAATTAAAAGAAAACAACACAACAAAACCTGTGCAACTGATCATTGAAACCATAAGTGAAAAGGAGCATCATCAGTTAGAACTGAGGAAGCCTTTTGGATGACAGGTAAAACGTCTTCAATAGAATTTCACCATTTGCCTAAACTGAACTTTTCAGGCTTGTTTTTAGTGTCTCATTAAACCACCATGCAATGTGCTGGTAAAAAAAAAAGTGAAATCCATGGGTGAAATGTAATTTTTGAAGTAGTTATGAGGTATCACTAATGGCAATTATTAAGTAAATAGGAAATTTTCATGTAATGGCCAATGTCTTCAACTGGTCATGGATCCCTTTAAAGACTGAGAGCACTGTAGTAGTCAGTAGACCATGCTGATCATTCTCTGGAAGACCATCACTTTATCTATATGACACAGTTCACATCATGCATTACGTTAGAAAAAATATTGAAAAACCCAGAAGATTTTTTTCCATCCTGAATATAAATTAAGTACATTTATTTTATTTTTTTTGGCAAATATTGCAAATAGCATAAAAAACTCAGATGAAAACATTCAATGAATATTAATTTTATTTTGGTAATTTTTGAAATGGTTATGTAGGAATGACTATTTTAGCACTGCTTTTTATAAGGAAAATATTTTATAGATTTAATCTATCTAATATCAAAACATGTCTTTAAGGTACTAGAAAAACATGCTTTCTTTCTGCATCTCTACCATGTGTTGCAAATATTTACAGAAATTTTTAATTCTTTAATTCCAAGCAGAAACCAAGTAGCTCCCCTCTCGCTATTTGGGACAAACTGTTAGAAACAAAGGGATGCTTAAATCCTATTGGCCTAACAGGGATATCTTCACCTCTCTTTAGAGAGTATCTAGTTGATTCATGCGGATTGGCATACAGGACACAGGACAATAGAGCCTTTGTTTCAGATTTTGCTGTACCAAGACATCTGTCAACCGCTTGTGTCTCTGCAAAGCGCTTGGATTTGCCCTGAATCAAAAGCATTTTATCTTCTCACCGCAGCTTATTTCTCTTCAGGATGAAGGAAATCAGGCCTGGTTTAATTATTTTCTATCTTTCTGTTGATAAGGGCACAAATTTCAATTATAGCTTGAGATAAGTTTGTTTGGAAGATGCAGAACAGAATGTTACGAAAAAGAAAGGAATTTTGAAAAGATTAATATTTTTGCGGGTGAAGTTTTAATATACTTAAAGCTAATCACAACAAAAAAAAAAAAATTATTGGGAGGCTAAAATTATGCAGCTTTTAAAATACATTGATAATTATATACACAAATAATTAGTTAACTGTTTAATGATATATAAAAGACTATGGTGGACTGAGTCAATATAACAGATACAATTACTTTCTGGTGCATTTCTGAAAAGAAGAAATGCTGTTATTAATTAATTAATTCATTGCATAAATCATGGAGATAGATCAATTTCAATTTTTGTGCCTTTTTAAGTACGATTTGTGTGTATAAATCTGAACGCTAATTATTAAATCATATAATTTTAATTTACATAAAAAATATAACATTTCTTAATCAGTCTTCACAAGTGTATTCATATGATGAAGTACTATAAATTGTGATTATAGTTTATATGCTTTTTAGAGATAAGTTTTACTTTAAGCTCTATTATGCCTTTCTATAAAATAAGTGTAGCAGAACTAATTCTTGAATTTTGTTTTTTCAGAAAAAACTGAGGAAAGGTAAAGAAAATACTTGTCTATAAATGAAACAATATATAAGGTCACTTTACTTTTGATTCAATTAACAACCCAAAATCTGGGTTTTTGAATCTCAAAGTTTGGAAGCTGCATAATTATCATTTTTCTTATCAAACTAATCAAATTTCCTAATTAAAAAAAAGGTAGTTTTCCTAAATTCAAATGGAATATTTAATTGGAATGACATACAAAAAAATGACTTATTTGTGTGCATTCTCTGGTTGAACTGCTGAGAGACAAAGCCAAATTTGATTTTTTGAGGCTCTAAATAGTATTGCTGCATCTCTTTACACAAAAGATTGAAATCAATACATTAGAATCTGCATTACATTTATTCCAAATGAAACTGCTGGAAGAATCCATTTTGTCTAAAAAGTCAAGGAAACAAACAAAAAGTCTGTCATTGATATAAAAGCCGTTTAATGATTGTCAGAGTGAATCCTGAGGAAATTCAACAGCATAAAATTTTCATAATAGGTTTACAAAAACTGTATGCAATGATCTGTTTTTTTATACTGCTCTTCGCTGCTTTCTGGAGGCAGACTTTTTCTTCTTTAATCAGACAAGCAGTAGAAAATTCCTATGAACATAAATAGCATAAATATTCACAAAAGTGTTTTTTTTTTTGTACAAAAATACAAATCTATCAAGTCCATGTCTATTTACATAAGCCACAGTGCTGAGGTTTCAGTCAGCAGGGAGGACAAAAGATAAGGCAAAGAGGCAGAGCTGCTATGAGATTCTCTGAATGAGATAAACTTTTGTAAGATTACCAAATGTTCACGATTTCAAAACTAAAGATATAAAACAAGCTCTAACTTCTTGTAATTAAATCAGAAAAGCATCAATTATTCGTATTGGTTCTTAAATTATATATTGATTATTGTTGTTATAATAATGTTATCTGTGGGATTTATTCAGTGGTAAAGTCGTAGGTAAAAATAGAGAATAAAGACTTGCTAAATTTAATCAGCAGTGGGTTTCAAGTGCTTATGAAGAAGAATATTACGGTTTTTTTAAATGTTCTGTTTGCTATAGAGAAAACAAAAGAACAATAAATTGATATTAGATCGGTAGTTAGTAGGATTACCAGCTGGGGTAAAGAGTCTGCTCTTTAAGATACATGCCTACTTCAGCTTCCTGACTGCAGCTTTAAAACTGTATTTCAGTAATAAGATTAATTGGTAATGTTACTTTAGTTCTCACTCTATGAATGTCTGTTTTTAAACAACTGAAATATTTCCAACTTCAGAAATGTGTCATTCTAGACCAGGGGTTCCCAAACTTTTCATCCCATGACCCAAACAATAACAGCACCATCGACTGGCGACCCCCGAAAAAACATCACTATATTTATATAGAGTGTCCTAATAACATTCATTTTTTTAAATACTTGTATTTTATAACATAACCACTTTAAAAGTATCTTGAATTATTTAATGGGATCTTCAATAGTCCTATATTTTCTTATGTATTTTACAACTAAATGGTGTATTCCCCATTATATTCAAATCCACATCAATCATATTGACCATCAAAAATGCAATATCTACATATTTTATCAGAAATTTAAATATATGAATCTCATGATACTTTCTGGGCCTCTATATATCTCAGGGATCACCATATAAAAATAATCAAAAACATTTCATACCATATTTCAGAACCCCTGTTCTAGAGTGCTTGGGACAGGATTAGTAGTTATTTTTCAGTTAGCTCATTAGTGGTGTGCAGCAACATGTGGGGGAGGGGCAGCTCTATATGCTCTTTCTACTGCTTGATTCAAAATGACTTTGAATTGTACGAGAAGTGTATACATTTTGGAACTCGTAACATGCCAAGATTTTATTTCATAAGGCAAGCTGTCGCTCAGTACACTAAAAAAAACATTTTTGGCATTTACTAAATCATATTTTGTAACTTTAACATTTAACTTTTTCATGTTAGCAGGGTAGGACATAAAAATATGTGTTAAAGTTACTAAATACGATTAAGTAGATGCCAAAAAATGGTTGCATTATCTTTTTTTTCAGCGTATATAGTAACTATATTTTCTTCGCAGATAATGCAAACCCTCTGTAGGCCACTGTTTTGAGGTATTGGTGGTGTCACACAGGCCACTTTGGCAGCTTTGGGTTAACAGTGAGGAAGTGCTTTTTTCTTCAAATCAATTGGTTCTATATAAATAAGCTGAATTGAACTGATTCTTGGATAACTCACATAACGGTCAAAATTTAGATTTAACTTGAGACAATAGTTTGTCTAATTAAAGTTTGTATTACGAATACAAAATTCACTTTTCTTATTTTTCTGATGTATTTTATGGGAATAAAAAAGCTTCAATGCTAAGTTCTTTTTTCCAGGTTGAAGTTGATTTTTTTGTTTTTGCATATTTAAGCTCTCTAATAACAGGGACAACAGTGAGTTCTCTGTTTGGGATTATCAGAGGAAGTCTGCTAACTTCCGTGCTAAGAGTTTCCCCTAGAGCTCAGTCCCATCCCTGGGGAAAATCAAGCTGTTCACACTGAAGCTGTTGTAGAAGTGAGTGTTGAACTGTCCGCTCTGCCCGCTGCTGAATGTGTTGTAGTACACTCCCCGGTTAAAATGCAAGCCCTCGTTGTGATCCGCTGCCCCCGCCTCCGGCCCGCTGCTGCTGGGGTGGTATGGGCTCAGGGCCGTTATGTTCCTATTCGACAGCTCGTTCACCAGTCCGAGGGACCCCTGTCGGCCAGAGGCCCCCGAGCTGAGCGTGGACATGTTGCCATAAAAGTTGTTGAAACATGGAGCGGCCGAGGCGAGTCCGGCCGGCGATGAAGATGAGCTTTTTTGGTTTTCGTTCATCGCTTCCATCTCTGGTGAGGAAGCTCCCAGCAGCTGTGGGCTGTCGGAGGGTTTCATGGAGCCCGCCACCGTGGGCCTGCCGTCCTCAAGCTTTGTGGCTGTAGCCGCAGCTCCTCCTGAAATGCTGGGATCAGACCGTCTTTTCCTTTTCCGCCGGAAGTTTCCGTTATCAAACATCTTTTCACAGTTTGGATCTAGTGTCCAATAATTTCCTTTTCCTGTAAACAAAAGAAAAAACAAATAAAAAAATAAAGTGAAATTTGCTAGGAACTTCAAACCTTCCTGCTTTTTATATAAAGCCTATGTTTATATAAACAGTAAGGTGTGGTTGTTTATTTAAGGTTTTATCTTTTTCCCTTGTAAAAATATAACTCTGTTGAAGGAACAGATAAAATAAACATACATACTAAACTTAGAAAATCTAGAAATCTTTTTTTTTAAAACATTTATCCCAAGCCTTTTACAAAACAGGAATGATAGTGTTCAAAATGTCTATTTATGTTTTTAGAACAAAGTCTAGAGCTTTTCTTTAATTTTATTTGTTGAATTGATTTTTTTTTTACATGAAGTGTAAATCTTTGTATAAATATAAAAAAAAACTATGGGAAATTTGATAATTTTATGAAATACACACCTTTTATTATTGTGTGTGAAAATAGGTTGTTTTGGACATCATACAATTTTTATTTTTCAGTTTTATGTTAAAAAACAAGTTTCTTTGTTTTTATTAAATATAATTGAACACATCTGTAGATAAGTTTCTCTAAAACCCTGGCAGATAATCAAGAGGATTTCATTCACTTTTATGATAAACGACTTCTTATTTGTGTTATCTGGTTTAATGTGAGTGAAACGGATGTTAAATGCGTTCCTATAGATTCAGGCAAATATTAAATGGTCATTTTTTTCTGTTTTGTCTCATAATATCTTTGTTATTCCTGTTATTTAAATTAAAAGATGATTTAAATGTAAAAAGTCTAGACTTGTTTAAAAGTAATAACTGAAATCATCTGTATTAAAGAAATTATTAGGTAGGTATTTTGTTCTATTTAAATAAAATGTAAGGATTCACAGTTCAGTAATGAAAAACATTTTCAAAGCTCCCAGAGAGAACAGCGTTAAGGCAAAATTATTTTTGGCTTTAGAAGACCGCTTTGATAAAAATTAGTAAGACGTTTTTTTGTTTTTTTTTCGGAATGCAAAGGTCCATTTTAAACTTCACTTATCTTTTATTTTCCAGGAAACTGTAAACCAACCATGGGTGCCACAATTTAGTAATAAATAAAATGCTAATATTTGAACTTTGTATGTAAATAATTTTAAAATATAGAATAATTTTTTCCTACTATCATTCAGCGCTAAATCGTGTGTTTTACATAGGGAATAGGTAGCTCTATGTTTAGGATCTATTGACTGGGGTGAAATGAAACCAAGCATTATTCAATTAGAGTATTTACTTTTACACTTATAATTGATTTGTAATAATTTACAGTTGCATTGACATATTTATTTCTATCAGTAACTTTTTATGGGTTTATTGGGATATTGAACTGAGGCATGTTTGGCCTCCCATACTCTCCAGGTGTCACATAAGGACTCTGTGGGATGTTTTGGTTACCTGGGTCATCCTCATCCCTTGGGACCTTTTTGAAGCAGTCGTTCAGAGACAGATTGTGCCTGATGGAGTTTTGCCAGCCAGCTTTACTCTTCTTATAAAAAGGGAAATTGTCCGCCACGTACTGGTAAATCTGACTGAGGGTCAGCTTCTTCTCATGCGCATTTTGGATGGCCATGGCGATGAGAGCGGAGTAGGAATAGGGCGGACGCACCAGCTTCAGCAGCTCCTCCTGGCTGGCGATGGACAGCCAGCCCAGGTCTGGCCCTCCGAATCCAGGTGAGTTGGTCAGGAACTGCCGCTGTGAGCCGTAGGAGGGCGGGATGAAGGACGCCGGGTTGTTGCCGTGCAGGTAAGACGTGGAGGAGTTAACGCCCGGCCCGTTGAGCCACAGGTAGGGGTTTGGAGAGGAGGCGTAGTCCCCGAGGCCGTAGCTGGCGGGTCTCTGCGCGCCCTGCAGGCTCTGCTGGTGGTAAACGCTGCTGAAGTTGTCGCAGTAAACCGCAGCTGCCATGTCCGGGGACTCCTGTGCGCCTTTATGAGGGATAGAGCCGACCGTAGGGGAAGTGTGGTGCTGGTGATGGGTCTGAGGGTCGATGGAGTTCATCACTCCCCGCGGGAAATTTCCCAAAGGAGAAGCTGAGGCGGTTCGGATGGACTCCTTCAGTGATGCGCAAGCAGCTGCAACAAGTGTCCGAAAGAATGAAGCTTGTTTTAAGAGCTTTAAAAGAAAAAGGGCTGAGGAACAGCCACATCCTGGCTGTGGAGAACTCCCAGTAAGTATCTTAACAACCAATAGAGAGCACAGAGGGTGTGGTTAGACACTCATTGAGCACAGAGTAGAGCCAAGGCTTCATCTACTGTCATTCATTCAGAGAAACATGCTTGGCTCACTGTTTTTTTTTTTCTTTTAATAGAGGGATGCTGTAACCATTTAACCCCAGCTAACAAACAACAACACAGAACAAAAAGACTGTGCAGCCTTCAGGACTTCTAATAAAATATGTTTATTTTCCAGACCCTGATTAACAATTCTTTGAAATAAATTTGAGATAAAAAAAATTTGAAAAAGTAATAATTTCTCACCTTTTTTTCCCCATTAACCACAAATTCAGTAACATAACCAAATAAGGAACAGTGTTACCTAACTGTGAAGCAGAAGACAAATAATGTATGTTTTTATTTATTTTTACAACAGGCCAAATATTAAATTTAAGACACTACACACATCAAAAATGGGTGAACTTCCCCTGATTACAGTGTAATTCGGTGTGACTCTTCCAATCAGAAGAAGTTTAAAGAGCAGCAGGTTCCTTGAGGCAGATGCCAGATGGTTTTTCCTCATACACGTGATAATCAGGCTCTTTGCTTCTGTTTGGAAAACTCTCATCGGGAATCCCTCTATGAATCTCTTCACCTTCTCCCTGCTCCACTTGTCACTTGGATCCACATGGATTTCTTCATTCAGTCAGCTCCCTGTCTAACCTCCAACGTTCACCCCTCTGTAATTCCAGCCTGGAATCTGTAAAACAAAGAGACAATCACCAACAAAAACACCCACAAATCCTTTCTGTGGCAAAAATGTAAAAGTGGAAGTTATCCAATCAATGGAGTAAATATCGGTAAGCAGAGACTGCAGTTGCTTAGTAGCCCAGAACTTCTTAGGGGCCCCATCACTGACACCTGGTAGGCCCCCTACGCAATTGTAGACTAAGACGTCTCTTTGCAGATGTAGTGGAGGGAAAAATTCCTCTTAAACCCACCTGATACTGAAGTGCCACATTGGGGGTTCGATGAGGTTTGTGGAACTTGGGGTGTCTGTAACATGTGGTTTTGCGCTGTCAAAATGGTTCCATTTCTCTGTGTGTGATCATATACTACTGAGAACTGCATAATTGTATCTTCTTGGCCAATTTATTGAACTGTCGCCTTATCCTGATAATTTATCACGTGTTGTACTTCATTTGGGGCCCACCTGGATAATGTTGCTTACTTATATTGTTGTGCTGTTACAGAATTGTATCCAATATCCAATCTCACTGTGCTCATTGGTTTTGTCAAAAAACTGTAAGTTTTAGGTGGGGTTGTACTTCCAGGAAAAAACAACACAATAAATATTTGAACAAGCATTGACTCAATGGGCCTGAAGATAACTGACATCACTCTTAAATAATCCCATCAAGAATCCTTCTTGAAAATGCATATGCTTCCTCTATCCATTCAAAATTATAAGCTTGTTGGTGTCTTTCACATACAAGTCAAATAAAAGGCACTGATGTATGTGGTAGGGGTGCACCAACTGATCTTTGTTTGAAAGATTATTGACCGATTTCATATACCTCTGCAAAGGTCCAAATTTTAACCACTGTCAACGCTATAAACATTGAATTATATTTGAGATATGGAGTGACATTTGTTCCATTATTATTGCAAGGAAAGAAAACATTTTGTCAATTAAAATATTGAAGAAAAAAAAAAAAGCTATCCAGATATGAAACTTTGAAAAGGTTTTCAAATTTTGCACTTCCTCAGATTTTGTTTAAAGTTTTCTCACTTATTTTTCATATATTTTTTTCAAATGTCACTTTTTGAAAAAAAAAATTACATTTGTGTTTTTCAGATTAAATTTAGAGAACTGCATCAAATTCCACTTCACAGACCACATTCTTTTCACTTCAAGCCCAATAGAATGGCTTTTTAATGACCAATAGAATGTTTTTTTTTTTTTAAACGTCCATGCAGACAAATAGAAATGCATCTTCACTTCTCACTCCATAGGAAAGCCTGCCTCTAGAGGTGAACAGAATGTGATCTATAAAACACAATTGGAAAGAATTCAATTGGTTAAACTTTCATAATGTAGGAAATTTAGCCCCGCCCCCATGCAAAAACAGTACCCACTTATGGTGTGGTCATACTGTAACTAAAGGAACTCTGCAGTGACAGTAAAACAAACACTACAGAATAAAATGTGAGACTTTGAATGCCATCTGTCACTGCTTGAAGTGGCAACAGTAGAGATTTAGTTGCATTTAGTCACTGACTGCAGCAATCTCTCACACATGCAGCGGAGGTTCTACGTTTGGCATTAAAGAAATACAGCATTTGAGATGAAGAAATCTATTACAAGCTGTGAAGCATACAGGTGAAAGTGTCATGGTTTGGGGGGTGATTTACAGCAGCAGAAACAGACCAGCCAGCAATCACATCATTCTATCCTTTTTTTTAAAAACACCAGGACAAGGTTACTGACCTCTGAACTGGTCGACCTAATTCTTTATGAAACTGCACCTCAGATATTTTTTACATAACAGCGGAATCAGAAAGGTTATGAATAACCTAGATATTTGTTTTTTATATCATTTAACCACAAATAAGTTAAGTTTATTGGTTGGAAGGGGAGAATATAAATTTAAAAACATAACGATTGGCATCTTAAACAGGATAATATTAACATACTGAGTTCTTGCTCTTTTAAGGATGGAGGAAATACCTTGAAAAGTTGTCTTAGTTCAAAAACCATGCTACTTTCTTTCCTTATCAGCTCCAATGCCATGGACCCAGAGCGGTTAAAAAAAAGCATACTTGTTGTGTTTGTGACTATTTCTAAAGGGGAAAAGCTTGTGTAAATGGACAATTCGGCCTGGGAGGCAAAGACTGTGCAATATCACAGAGGAGTGAAAAAAATAATGGTAGTAGGTAAATTATTGTCAGACAAAAAATTATAAATATTGCTTAATTGCATACTAATGAGGGATTACTACATGGCTAAATCCTGAATTATGATGCTTTATGCTGCAGCCACTGCTTCCTCCCAACCAATCACAAATGCAGGCATGCTTGCCCCAAAGTGCTGTCCCCTAAAATAACAACACAGAAGATGTGAGAACTAGGGCTGAAAATATTAATCCAATTACCGGTAGTCGAAATTAATCTTTTATTGAAATAAACCTCAAATAACTTATTAATCGTTAATCTTAAACTGAAGTACAGAGACTCTAAGATGTGCCTTTAGCAGACAGAGCAACCCACTTGGAGCAGAACTATACCAACATTGTAAAAAAATATATAAATATTTTGCAATTAAGATAAAAAAAAAAAAATCACTTTTTCATCTGTCAGGATACTCTATCCAGAACTCTTCAAGTGGAAAAGTTTTAGTCTCACCTTGATTAAATAAGTAAAAATTGTTTTTAGGAAACCTTTTGCTGGCTGTTAACTAAAAAATAACCGACAGATTAATTGATTAGCAAAATGATCGTTAGTTGCAGCCTTAGTGACAACAAGGATAGGCGGATAGTTTTTTTCCCCAAAAAAGGGTTCAGTTGTTCCAATAACATATTGGTAATATTGTGGTTATAATGTGTCAGACAAATAGAAAAATTTTATTTTTCTGATTTTCTTGTCAGTTCAAGCTATTCTTTACATTCATCAGTATTAACATTTCTAAGGTCTTGTTGTCATGATCTGGCCTGTTTGCTCTCCCCTAATTAGTAATTCCTCTCACCTGCCCTCTTCCTTCCCTGCCTCAATTATAATTTATTCCTCTCACCTGTTTCCTCTGGTTTATATTCAGTTCAGCCTGAGCATTCAGTGCCCAGTGTCCACGAGCCACAGCTCCGCTTTGTTTTGTTTTTATTTTAATAAACCTTTTGAACTTTCCTACTGACTGTCTCTCCTGAATACTGGGTCCATCTGTCCGCAGTTCATGACACTTGTGAGTTCTTTTTACTTTGAAAAAAAAAATCTGGTTATGATGGTTTACTAAAAATGTGATTGGAATTCAGTGTTTGTGATTCCTTTATTAAAAGCAGGCAATTAAGCAGTAGCATAAAAGAGTTGCACTTAAAATATTATTTTAATAATTATTGATATTGATTGATATGAATCCATATGCTCTCCTCCAAACTGAGGTCCCTTTTAAAGAAGGAAATCAATGTAGAAAGAGTTAAAATCAAAATTTGTAACTTTCAGTTCTGCATTTCTTGGGTCTTTTATATTATTTTTTGAGTTGTAGTATTTTGTTAATCTATTAGGTTTTCTTTGATTAGTGCTGTTTTCAGTAGTACCTCACACTTAAGTTAGTTTTTTTTTTTAATCAGTTCTAGAGTTTTTCAGTTTGAGAGTTTTTTGGTATAAGAGTATATATATATATATATATATATATATATATATATATATATATAAATTGATTGTAATTTTTTAAAAATATATTAATTTGCATTTCTAACTATCACTGCCTAAATGTCAGTTAGTCTAAAAGCAAACGTTAAATGATTTTTGCTTTTTGGTCTATAAATCAAAACATTAAAATATTTCGGAATTAAAAAACTATTTGAAGCTGCAGATGTTTGATTTTTGTCACTTAGCTGTTTGCGGGGGCTCTGTCAGAAACATCATTTGAAAACAAAAGTGAATAAATGATAGAAACAGTCTAAATCAATTAAAAGAACAACAGTGTAATTAACGGTGTCATTCATGTCACTCTTAATCAGACTAGTTATCATCTAAAGTAAGCAAATAATTTAAACAATGTTTAGTTGCTCAACTTCATATACTTAAAGTTTTACTTCTGAGTGATTTCCAGCAGTAACAATCACCCCACTTTTGTGTTTTTCTTCTTTAAAAACCGATATGAGTTAAATTTAGGATATTTTGTTGATTTCTCTACATTTAGCATATTCTGCTTTTAATCAGGGTGAATTTTTAGAGAAGAACTTTCACTAATTAAAAAA